TTCCACTAGTGGATTAAACACTGTGTGATCTGGAATTGCGATGGCAGTCAGTGGTGCTTCACCAAGAGCAATTTCACCAGTACTGAAATTAGCAATTTGCATTGTTGTTTCGGCAACGCCATGAGTTTCGATTAGTGCTTTCTCTGCTGTTTTTGCTTTTGGTATTTGCTTTGGCTTATATTCAGTTTCTCTATCCTCCAAGATTACCGAGGATACTTGTAGACTTTGTTCCATTATCATTGAAAGATCAGCTTGGGCCATAGATGGTATTTTATCTTTCCCGAGTATAGCCTCCGCTTCAGTTGGCTGTGTTTCCGTCGCCACTATCGCTTCTAACGGGATACTTGAGAAAGTAGCCAAAATAGAAATCGGTTTTGTCTCCATTAATTCTCCAGCACTGGAATCTGGAGTGATTTCGCTCTTCTCAGCAATAATATGTCCCGCAAATTGAATATCGGCTCTTTTTTCCGCAGGTTTTTCGAGAATTTGGAGAACACCTTCCTTTTCGCCTAAAATCTCAGTAGACATAGTAGCACTGATAATTTCATCGACAGATATTTGAGCCGTGTCGGTTTTGGTTGGTCTTTTTTGAAATTCCATTTCTGTTTCTGTTGCAACAATTTCACTTTGAACGATACTCTCAAACGGTAAACATTCTTCTTTCGCCGCTGCACTTGCTGGTGTTTTCACATCGAGGTCTCCTGCATGAATGGCCGGCGTAACTTCAGTGAGTTCAGCGATTTTATGCGCGTCAAAACTGGTGGTAATTGTTTCACCAGAAATATCCAATTTACTCACATATTCTCGTTCCTTGTCGGACGCAATAGTTTCAATTACTGTTACGCTTGTTTCTTCTTCGAAAGACACATCAACTTTTTTCTTGTCAGGTTTGACGAAATCAAGCATAGGTTGCTCTGAATCACCAGTTGACAATTCGGATGTAACAATACTACGATGAGTGATATGCTCGGTTGTAGCCGTTACGGAGATCGGTTCTTCGTATTTTAATTCGCTAATGTTATCAGTCGCGGTTACTTCAGCAGCTTCTGCCACGGTATGAGTAGGGATATCTAAAACAGCAGATTTTGATTGTGGTTTTTCCATTTCTGCAAGCATACTCTCTTTATCACCTGTTGTCACAGAAGAAACAACTAGGCCTTCACCCATTATAAATTCGAAATTAGCTGTTTTCTCTGGCACTGGCATATGGGGGAACGGCTTTTCAGTTTCTCTTGTTTGTACTTCTTCAGCAACGGCTGTTTCAAATGGTAATAATGTGGTTTTAGGACGTGCTTCTTGAGTAGGTTTGGTAGATAATTCAGTTGGAGCGATGTCACTGATAATCTCAAATGTCGATGCTATGTTCTGTGTTACTACATCAATTGTAGCTTCGGCTGTTTTTGGCGGCTGTTTCTCACCAAGTATATCCTCTTTGTCCTCGGGATGCGTAATTTCAATTGTCAGACTCTTTCCTTCTTGGAAAGTAATGTCAACTTTCTTAACATCAGGTTTTATGTCGATTTCTAAAGGAGATTCTTTTTCAGATATCGACACTTCCATTTGTTGTACAATGTCTAGTCCGCTTTGCAACTGAGTGGCACTTTCCTGATTCGGTTTTTCTTCTTTCAATGCACTTATAGTGCTTGCAAGAATCATCTCCTGTGTTTCGGCTATCTCATGGCCTCCAGTTATGTCTAACACAACCCTTCGCTCGTCCGGTAATTTTTCCATTAACAATTCTTCTTCTTTCATTCCGGTCGTCACTTCAGTGACGGTCACTTTTTCAGATCGCGCGCATACTTCAATTGCGGCATTCTGTTTAATAGGACTTGCATCCTCATCCCTGATTCGTTCCGCCTCGCCGACATTTGTTTCGGTTACTATCAGTTCTTCCAGAGCTTCTTGTTGTATTATCGCTTTGCCTAATTTTGGTAGATCATCGCTCATCTTACCAGCACTTTGTTCCACTAAGATCTCTGCTTTTGACGCGATAGTGTGACCAGTTATGGACGACTCAACCGTATAGGTCTCTGGTTTAATATCCGGCGTGTAAATGTTTTCAAGATCATGTGGAATTATTTCTAGAACGCTGGCACCAGGCCTCGTCTCTGTGAGTTCGATGTTTGCTACTTTTCCCTCAGGTTTTATATCCGCTTTATAAACATCTTCTTTCTCCGCGGTTTCTTGCATAACAATGCTGATAGTTTCTATAGGAACATGAGATGGATATGCTTTTCCACTCACAGGTTTGTCTACCACTAGGTACTCTTCAGTCGACGATTCTGTTCTTACTTGTTCGCATATCGGAGCCATTTGCGTCATATATTCAGTATTTGCAAATGCACCCTTAATGTCGGGCTTATCAAGATATTCAGTTTCTTTCTCCCCTGCTACGATCATTGTGGTGTGCAAGGTTTCAATCTCATTCATGGAGATTACAGCGGTTATTGTCTCAGGACTCTCATCCTTCCTCGCCGGAGCTACACCTTCCGCCGCAACAGTCTCATCAACGATCATCTCTTGCAAACTGATCGCTTCGACCTTAGCTGTAGCAGCTGGTAAGGTTTCTTTCGTAACTTCACCTAAATTATTTTCAGGCTGGGTCTCCTGAACTTCAAGGGAGATCATTGGATGAGTAGGTACTATTTTGCCGCGATGTGATTCAGGCATTTCAAAGATTTTCAGTTCGGCTTCTTTTTCTATAGAAGTAGCCTGCGATATCTCGATACCTCTGACAGCGTCGTAGACCGTCTCGATCGTATGGATTTCCGGTTTAGCATCTTCCTTCATGTCAGCCTCTCGATCATGAGTGAGCGTTTCAACGACAGTTTTAGCTTCAGTTAATTGAATGGATACGACACCGCTTTCTGAGACATACTTGAGCGTGTCTTTCAAATCCGCAGGATAATCCGCGGTTTGAATTTGAGATATCAAAATGTGTTCCTCCGGTCTGACTGACGTTTCCGCCAGTGCTACGGATGGTTTTTGATCGGCATTATAAGCTCCTTCGGATTCTTGAACAATCGTGTCTGTTACAGAACCAATCTCCAATGAAGAGATTGACGTAACGGCCAGTTTACCAATAGGCTTTTCTTCAGGATGATAGTCTCGTTCTTTTTCGGAAGTCATTGTCTCTGTCGTTAAAGCTGACATTATTTCGATAACATTTAAATCGGCCATGACCTGTTTGTTCTCCTCGATGGTTAAATCATCTTCTTTTTGTTGAGTATCGACCATTGATATCGTGACTCCTTCCAGAAAAGTGACATTTGGTGTAGCTTCAAAAGAATCTACTTTACGCTCGGGAATGTATTCGCCTTCACGCTCCTGCACGAGATCGTGGTGAATAACAGCTGTTTCGTTTCCATAGGAGATTCCAATTTGGGCTGTTTGACTTGGTGGTAATCTACCTGGAATGTATGTTCCTTCTTTTTCAGGCGCGTTCATCTCTTCGGTAATGTGTTGTCGCTGCGAGATTACTGTTTCAGTAGCAACTTCCGTAGGTACTATCAACTCTGGATAATATTTTCCTGGTTTATCTTCAGAATGAATTTCTTCCACTATTAGCGGCTCCATTGCATTGATATTAACTCGAGGTTTTGTAAGAATTGTTTTCACAGGTTCCAATTTATCTTCAGTTAAACCTTCTTGTACCTCATAAACCGAAAGCGATACTTGTGGCAAGACAATATCCTCCGCCTTAACGCTTAAGGGTGTTATAAAATCTTCGGTGGGTATTTCGCTTTGATTAACTATGGTCTCTCTAATAGTTGTTGCTTCCTGCACAGTGATCTGCACGTCTGCTTTTCGACTCGTTTCTGGTGTGATCAAAGTTAGATTTGATACACCATCATCATGAGTTAGTGTTTCGCTAATGAGAAGACTTTCTTTCGTTATTACAGAAGGTGTAGCTTCATAAGAAGTGGCTTTGAAAGAACCGGAGAATTCATCAGTAGATATTTGTGCAGTAGTTTCTGTGGTAGAATATGGTTCTATAGATGAGATTGATATTGACGCTTTACGTTCGGTAGGTTTTAGACTCGTCACGTGGTCAATTTCTTTTTCATGTACCGATGTCATTTGTTCCGTTAGCGCGATAACAGTGTCTAATGTGTATTTAGCTTTTTCCAATTCGGGTTTGCCAGGTGCTTGCTCGATTGTTCGATCTAATGGTATCACTTGATTTCGTTGGCTAGATACATTCAAAACCATAGATGGCAATAATTGATCCTTTATTACTTCAAATTCTTCTATCTCCTCTAGTTCTATCTCGTCTTTACCAATATTTGATCTTTTTGACGTTAATGTCTTTCTAATTTTCTCAATCGTTTCTTCCTCCTCTTTTATTTTTGTTTCTTGTTCCACATCTTGCTTTTGTTTACGAATCAGTCTACCTTTCGAGTCCCGTTCGAGTTCAATAATCTCTTCTTCAATTTCTTCCCTTTTTCTTTCTTTTTCAATCTCCTCGACTTCCTCGATTTTAACTAATTGAACCCCCTCTTCCCTATCTTGTGTTGTTTCTTCAATTTGATCCCTTGGTTTTCTATCTTTGCGTTTGCGCAATGTTGTGTGTGCCTGCCGTGTGTCCTCGTATTCTGTGGAAAGTATGTGAGAATTTTGTGTCAGACGTGAGTGTTGCGTATTTTATTGCGCGACTAAAGAGCGTGTATTTGATTACAATATGCTCAACAAATAAGTAGCAAGTGTTTGGATCTTCAGAAACGTGTAAATGTGGAATTTTATTGTAAATAAGCTTAGTAGAATATAACATTATTAATTTTATAATCAGGCTTATATCTCTTATATCTCATACTATTTTGTGTTGAGCAAGATATCGATAGATACAGAACTTACTTTTCAAGAAGCAATCAGCGTAGCGCATCAAATCACAAAGCATTGATTTCGAAGTTGATATGGAAAATAGCTAATTAAAATATGACGGTAAATGTTGTGTTAGATAAGGAAACAGGATTTATTGCGTGTGGAAAGCATAGCGGCGTAAGCAAAAAAATCGCACATCTATTATTCGAGCAAGTAAAGCTTCATACATCTGAAAACATAATAAAACAGTGATTGTTACAGCTATGAGCATCGTATCTCACAATCAGTATACATTTTCTTTCCTATTAATATTTTGATATATAAATAAAAAAGCATTTGAAATATATTTAAAAGTATATGGCATTGATTGAAACTTTAATTTCTACAAAACATAACATAATGTTTGATTTACGTATTTTGATGTTTTATACAAGATATCCATTTGTCTATTTATATGAACTTGTGTTCATTCTGAATAAAATTAATTAAAATTACCAATGTATAGTGTTCCTTATTCGCTAATGATAAAACTATAACAAAATTGCAATAGCCCTGCTTATTGTGGCAAAACCAAATCATTAAATTAGTAAATTATCTCATGCGTCGAAATTTATTATTCCAAACCTTTAATTTCTCGAATATCCTGTACATGAGTAGCTTTCCTTTCGTCTCTCTGCTCTGTAATTAGAGAATACTTATTTTTATGAAAAATTTAAGGGGATTATTCTTGGGGCGAAAACAATAATAAAAATATTAAAAGAAGAAAAGAATCTCAAATAAATCCGAATCTTGTGCATATGTCTAAAGAATTCTAGAGATTATATATCTATACGGAGAAATTACAGTTTGCAATCTCAGCTTACCCATAAAATGAACTTCCATTTTGCGAACAATATCTACTGTTTCCGTAGCATGTTGCTCAGTCTCGACCTAAGAAAAGAAACAAAACAGGAAATTATTATTGGAAATATTACAGCATATATTTAATTGTAAGAGAAATGTAGAAGACAGAGCATTTTCTAATAATTATTATAAATTTATGTAACATTTGTTGTCAGATCTGTACCTCGGAAATTTCTGTAACTTCCCAAGCACGTGGCCTGAAATCTTCCGGAGCAAAGTGTATGATGACTTCTTCCACGGTTGCATGCTGAAGCTCGACCATTTTCATAAACGCACGAAAACCAACTGTCGCTGCAACAAAGCTCTCATCGGTCGTTGTCTCCTCCGTAAGTACTTGAGTGATCAAGGGACCGTGACCCTTTCTTTCCACCAATTGTACCAAAGCATTCTGAGCATCAGGTGTTTTTAAAGCAGGAAACATCTCAGTCCTATATAGACATTCGTTGATCTCGTTTACGGAAACACCTTGTCGAACCAAGTAGCCAATTGTTGCGAGTTCTCGAAGGGGAGATTCTCCTGGACCAAACTCTTTTACATCAAGAACCTCCATTATCTCGTCGACTTCCCGAGCTATGTTTTCTTTTTGTCGCTCCACAATCTCTTTTACGGTAATATCTTCTTTAATCTTTTCTGCTTTTATTTTCTTTACTTTTTTCTGCTTAGTTTCTATACGTTTTCTTTCTTGCACGCTAGTTTCTACATGTGCTTCAGAGATTGCAACTTTCTCTAGAGTTTCCGAAGTAACTTGAGCGCGATCAAGTTTTGTTTCGATGGTGAAATCAGGAGCAATATCTTCACTCGTGATTTCTGATACGACGACACTTTCTCGCTCTTCGACAATTTGTTTCGCACGTTCTTCAAATTTAGGTATGTGCTCTCGTAGTTTCTGATCGTCAATTTTCTTCAAAGAAGCTGTTGCTTCGGTCACAATTGGTTCTTGGATCGGTACTATTCTCCGTGCTCTAGAAACCTAATGTGCAACATAAAATAGTAATTCGTGTTATTCTTTAAAAAATATAATTATAATTAAAATATTTTAAAAACTGCACAACTTAAATACCTCCTCGGGTTTACTTTCTATAAACTTTGTAGTTTCTAATATTTGGGTCTCTTCAACATCGACAATTCTTCTGCAAATACAAATAGCAAAAATTATAATTTAGAAATAAAACAAATTAAACAAGTACGAAGTGAAAATGAACAAGCCGAAATGTAGCATTACTAACTTTTCTTCTATCTGTTCTTTCGGAATCAGCTTCTCTTCATGGATTTCTTCTTTCTCAATTTTGACACGTTCAGCTTTTACTTTTTCTTTAATTTCCTTTGCCTTCTTTAGCTCGGTTTTCTTCTTTTTGTATAGTTTTTCTTCTTGTTTTTTCAGCTTTATATCAAACTTTTCTTCTTCTTTGATTGTGTCATCCGACGTTAACCGTACTTCGCTGACAGTGTCAACATGCAGTTTAGCTTTTGTTACTATCATTCCAATTTCATTGGTAGCTTTGCAAACATATGTGGCATCGTCCTCTCCGGTAGTTTGCTTAATTGTTAAAGTAGTTCTGTTTTCCTCATCAAATATACGTACTTTTACATTCTCTGTATTCATTATAAGCTTATCGTTTTTATACCAAACAACATCTATAAGTTGAGGAAGTAATTAATTAAAACAGATTTTACAATTAAATTACAAAATATTTTACTATATTTATATGTGTAATGATTACCTGGTTTGGGGTTACCAGAATAGACACATTCGAACAAAGCGATATCTCCTTCCTTTGCATAAATGTCCGTTATTTCTTGAATGAATCGTGGAATGGCTTGTGTAGCTGAAATATCATGAAGCTACGATTAAGAAAAACTCTTACAATAGAAATAGACATTAAATATTGCATTTTTCTTACCACATTTTGTATTTGGTGTCAAGATTACTTGTATAAGCCTTATGTCAGTAGTCTAGTTAGACAAACATATATGAAAATTCATGCATAGTTACTTTCTGAATAATTACTTCTACATTTCTATCGTTAGTTTTAAATCAAATTCTACCTGATGTGCCAGAAGCATTCTACCTGATGCCTCTTTCATCTTCAATGCAGTAGTCGCTATAAAATGTGAATATATTGCCCGTTAATCCAAAATTACCACTGCATTGATTCTCAAGTAGTAAAAATTCTCGTAGTTCTTGATTTTCCACTGTATACAATTGCTGGAAAAATTTCTACTCAATTTCTTTCGGCTCTAACAGAAATATCTGTGGGTTTGTAGCATAATTCTCGACTTGTCTCTCTTTGAGATATTTTGAGACAGGAGTATTAAATTTGAGATATGTATGATATTTTCTTTGATGGTTGTGAATCGGCTTAACTGCAAGTTTCTCCGGAATGGACATAAATATCTTTATGTCCAGTTTATTTTGATTATACACACTTAGCATTTTGGTGTTTTCCTCGATTGAAAACAAACACCAACAGTGATATCTGCTTTTCTGGAGAATACGTCTTTACCAATTGAATAAAGGTACTCGTAAATTTTTCTTTTATACTCTGTTGGTGAAAATCCACCAAACTCGAAAACAATTTCCTCTCTCTGCATTCTGTTGATACATCCATCGAGATCTTTTCATTGAATATCAAATTGATGCTCGCCTTCTTAAAAGTGTCTTCAGTGGGAAAGGAATTAATAGTTGAAAGTGATTTGCCGATCATTTTTTGACTAATATATTTGTCATTTTCTGTTTTAATTGGAGATAGTTGTTTCAATCGTTTTTTGATGTTTTTACTACACCTTGTTTATACTTTTAATCTTTTATTATAGGGGTTGTCGCGTTTTGCATATTTAAAATCAATGTAGAGATATGTTCCGACTTGATTCCATGTGATGATATAATGTGTGCTTTTTCGATAGCAAAATTGTGTTTCACCTCATTATTGAGCACAGATTTGACAAGTACACTTCTTTTATTTTCTAATAACGTAACGTATGAAAAATATTTATGTTCAATAGTTTCTTTATCTTGCTTTTTCTCTTGTAATTGCCTTCTTGAATCAAATATTGAAGTTTGTTACTTGTGAGAAGTATCAACTTGCCAAGAATATTGTATTGTAGTAATATTCTCTCGATCAGGCTCCATAGAATCCAAATGCTTTTTCAATAGAAAACATTTTTCGAACAAGTTTTATCAAAAAGTAATCTGGCATTGTCATCAATGTTTGTCAAGGTTTACGTCGATGAAAATTTGCTAGTCACAGTTGAACTATCTTTTTGGGAACTCTTGCTTTTTGATATACATTTATCCAGGTTATCGCTTGAGAACTTGCACTCTGCTGATGCATCACTCGGCATGCAATCGAACGTGTTCAGATGATAAACATAAGTCTTACCTCTTAAAGCCTCCTGCATTTCTTCCATTTGTGTAACCCACTCTGGTTTTCGGTATTCTTTTGTTCCGAGTATACCTAATCCACAAGACAAATATTAGAAATATAGAATGGATGTGTGGCAAATCTCTCTGGTCTTGTTAGCATTTGATTAGAATAATTTGGGCGAGGCCAAAGAGATTTGTAAACTTGTTTGAAATATGCCAAAAGAAGACAGAAGATAGTGTAAATCGAGGATGTTGCAAGTGTTTCATGTGGTTGATGTGGAATATATGGACTATATAAGATAAATGTAATGGAATCTATATAGGATAATGAGTGGATTTTTATCAGGATGTTATAGCGCTTTGATGACGCTTCTCCGATTGAAGAGTGCAAACTGAAAAGAATTTTGCTTAACCAGATTAGCGAAGCCTTCGAAATCTACAGAGTAGAAGATATTACCTTCTACTGATAAATATGCCGTCGTAGTTGATACACCAAGTGGATTATGAGCTTCAAATGTGATCTCGCCAGTGTCATCGGGAAAAGTTTCAGCAATCGTCAATACTGATGTACCATCTTCAAATTCTTCAATTTGGAATTCTTGTGATGAAACTATTTCCACACCTTGTTTATACCATTTTCCTTTCGGTTTTGGTTTGCCTTTCATCTTTACTTCCAATCTATATATAAGAAAAGTTAGCAGTTAGACACACACATACATGTATACATATACATTCATGTTTTAGATATACAATTATTTGTTAAACGTGTTTTAAACGTACCTAGTTAATTCCCCATCTTTGGTAGGAATTAACTGAGGAAGCTTCTTAACTATCTCTGGTACGGATTCTTCTACATCAGTGTCGAAGATAGGAGTTTCCTAGAAATAAAATGTATTTTAATGCTTAATATTGCACAAAGCATAATTATATTGTTGGATATTGTGAGAATTTGTACTTACTTTTGGAGATAGAAGATCTTCTTCCGATCCAGTGGTAAGAGATGTCGCGATTATTGAAGATGCAATTTCCGAATCAGGCACGTACTCGTATGCTAAAAATGAATTGAATAAAACAGATAACCGTTTATACTTATGTTCGTCAAATGGTATACCTTCAACAATAAGCGATGACGTGCAGACTGCTTCGCCAACAGGATTCACAGCATGACAGGTATATTCTCCAGCATCTTCTGGAAATACTTCAGTAATAGCTAGGCTGCAGACACCCTCCATGTCTTGAACAATTGTAATTTCTTTGCCTTCTTTAATTGGCTTGTCATTATGGTACCATTCTACTCTGGGCGTTGGCTTTCCTTCCACGATGCAAGTTAAATTAACACTCTCACCATCCATAACTTTTACGGGTGACAATCTCTTAACAAATGTTGGTGAAACTAATTCAATTGTCTCTTCCCATGTTACGTCTGTTACATTAATAGTGGCCGTACAAGTGACTGAACCACCAACGTTTTCAGCACGACACGTGTAATTACCAGCCAGTTCAGGTGTTACTTCTTTTACCATCAAAATCGATCGATTCTCTTGAGTCACAATTCTTACTTGCGGTGTCGACTGCAATACAAATTATATCTTTTATTAATTTTCTGAAATTTTACATAATATGTTGTTCTATGTAAAAGTTAAAAGTTTATATTAAACAAGCACAAAGTTGGAAACACAGATACCTCAAGAGGTTTGCTCTCATGGAACCATTGAAAGGATGCCACTGGATATGATTCCACTCGTGTTTCCATGATAACAACTTCTCCTTCTGCAACAAGTTGAGGCTGAATAGGTTCCACAAACATTGGAGCTTTTACTTCGCTCGTGTCTTTGCGTTCTTTAATGGTAACAGAACTCGAACTTCTTGCTTCACCAGCTTCATTTTGAACTCTTATTTCATACTTGCCGCTATCCTTGTTTGTTACTTCTGTTATATTTAATTCGGCACTACTTTCATAGATATTTATCTTGCGTTTGTCAGTCGGTGTAATTTCAATGCCATTACGAAACCATTTAACTTCCGGTTTTGGTACGCCCTCAAAATCAGCTAAAAACTTTAGAGGCTTTCCGCGTTCAGTTATCAAGGCGGGCAAAGGTCGTGTAATTCGCGGTGCTCTCAGAACAACTGGTTTACTCACTTTAACAATGTTACTGATCACTAAATTAGCTCTACATTCAGCGCGACCGTATTTATTTACAGCACGAACACGATAAATTGTTTCGTCTTCAGGCATTGGCTCTAAAATTTTCAGCTCAGCTTTTCCAGTTGTTGGGTTGAAAGTCATCTCAGTTCTCTTGTTTGGTTTCACTTCTTTCTCCCCGCGATACCATTTTACTTCAGGTATTGGCGTACCGGTTACAATGCACTCTAATAAAGCAGGTGTGTGTTCCTCAATCATTAGCGGTTTAATCGGCGTTGAAAAATGCGGTGCTACGCCTTCCTCTTCTTTTTCTGAAAATAGAGATGTTTAAATATTTGTGGTAGGGGATATATTTATTTACAATTAGTAATTGTACGAAATAATTATAAGCGTTATTTTATCATATTTCTGTATCTACAACGAAAATTTAGTAAAGCAAATTAAAAATATAAAAAATAACAAGTAAATACCAATAAATAAATCTTATTTAAATAAATGCAAATCAACATAAAAATTAAGCAATTCAAATATTCGACAATATTACTACCGAATATCACAAGATTGACAGTGGATGTTGCCACGCCAGCCGGATTGGACGCTCTACAAGAATACATTCCAACATCTTCCTCTTTAACTTTGGTGATTTCTAAGGTTGCGGTTGTCTCAAATATAGTCATAGTATACTTTTCGCTCGCATGGAGTTCTTGCTCATTTTTATACCAAGAAATTTTAGGGAATGGATTTCCTATAACGGTACATGTAAATTTGGCAGGTTTTTCTAATTCAGCGATAACAGGTTGTAACTTTTGGATAAATCTTGGAGCAATAGTTTTATCTTTATCTATAATTGATATGTCCACCTGAGTACGTTGTCTGCGTTTTCTCTTACGGTCTTCTACTTGGGTAATATCTGTTTTAATTTGTAAGTCTACATCTACAATTTCCTTTTCAATAATATTAGAAGTGATTTCTTCGGGTATTTTTTCTATTGCTTTAGATTTTGTTTTAACCGATTCAATAACAACTTTATCTTTCTCTTCCGAAACCTCTGTTATTTGTTCCGCAAACTTTACAGGCTTTAATTCAATAACCTTATCTTCTTTAACTTTTTCTTCCGTTATTTTTTCTTTACTTACTAGCTTTATTTCAACTTTTTCAGATAATTCCTTGTCTTTTACAAGGAATACATTTTCTTTAGATTGTTCAATTTTCGGTTCTAGTTCTTCCACTTTTTCAACGGGCTTTAACATAACCGTTTCTTTTTCTTCTACTAATTTTGGACGATCTTTTTTCTTCTTCCTCCATGAAACTTCACTTGTAATTATTTCCTCGGTGAGTTTATCTTCTTTATGCATTGGCACAGGTTCCACCTTCTTTTCAATCAATTCCTGAATATTCTCACTTGCAATTATTATTGTTCCCTTTTCTTCGCGAATTTCTGTAACGGATTCCTCTTGATCAATGGGCACTACAGTAACCTCTTCTTTAAAATCAACAACTTTCTTTGTACGTTTACCACGCCGCCAAGGAGCTTCTGTTATCTCTATTGGTTTCTCCTCTATGGGTTTATCGTCTATTATATCTGTTACTACCTCAGATACAGGTTCTAATTTTATTTTTTCAGATTTTTCTTTTTTCACTGGTTTTAGTGTGATTTCTTCCTTCGACTCTTCCTCTTTAGGCAGCTTTTTAACAGGTTTTAGTACAACTTCCTCAGGTTTCGGTTCTTCAGGTTTCTCTATTTTTCTCACTGGCTTCAACCGTACTTCTTCCGGTTTCTCCTCAACTTTCTCTTTTTTCACTGGTTTTAGTGTGATTTCTTCCTTCGACTCTTCCTCTTTAGGCAGTTTTTTAACAGGTTTTAGTACAACTTCCTCAGGTTTCGGTTCTTCAGGTTTCTCTATTTTTCTCACTGGCTTCAACCGTACTTCTTCCGGTTTCTCCTCCACTTTTTCTCTTTTCACTGGTTTTAATGTGATTTCCTCTTTTGTTACTTCTTCTTTAGACAGCTTTCTAACAGGTTTTAGTACAACTTCCTCAGGTTTCGGTTCTTCAGGTTTCTCTATCCTTCTCACTGGCTTCAATCGTACTTCCTCCGGTTTCTCCTCAACTTTTTCTTTTTTCACTGGTTTTAATGTGATTTCCTCTTTTGTTACTTCCTCTTTGC